TTCTCAGCGTGGTTGTCCCCTACCGAAAAGCAATTGAAAATGTTGTTGATGCCTACCAAATTAACTGCGCCCACTTGCTCCTTGAGGGCACGTTTCTCGTACTTGTGCTCGGCGCACTCCTCGCGCACCTTGGCCAGCTCATCGTTGGCTGTTTCCAGCTCCTTGAGCAGCAATTGATTTCGTTCTTCGCAGCTCTTTGTTCTGCGAAGAGGAAATTGAAAGTGATGCACACTGACAGCCAGCCAGACTCCCACAGACCCACGCCCACACTTACTTCTCCTGCTCGGCGATTAGCTCGTCCTTCTTAATCGAGATGAGGCGCTGCAGATTCTCATACTCCGCAGCGGCCACCCGCTGACGCTCCTCGTACAATTGCCTCAGCTGGCGTATGTTGACCAGCTGCCGTTCGTATTCCTGGCGCAAATTGTTGGACATGATCTTCATTTCGCGCTCACTGAACGAATTCTCGATCTCCTGCAGCTTCATCTTGAGCTGGGGGCGAGCAAAAGAAACCTAGTGTTAGTTCGGAACGGTAATCCTCCTGGCTTGCTGCTGCTCTACCTGTGCGCATTGCTCCTCCTTGACACTGAGCATCTGCTTGCAACAGCAAATGACCTCCTTCAGGGTGCCCACTTGCCGTTGGACCACATCCAGTTCGCTGCGTAATGAGAGATTATCGGCATTGGCCAATTGCAGGGCCAATTGGGCGTTGGCCAGCTCAATGTTGGCATGCCGACTGCGACTGCTGGGATTCTCATCATCCGGATCAGGTTGCGACTCCTGAGCAACCACCGATGCAGACGCTGCTGCTCCTGCTTCTACTGGTTCCGATGGTGTTTGTCGTCTTAGCCGCTGATTTTCCGCCTTCTCCTGTGCCAGCTGCTCACGCAATTTAGTGAGCTCCTCACGCATCTCCTGCACAGCTGTTTGACGTGCCAGACGCTTAGAGGCCAATTGCTCCCGGAACTCCTCCAGCGAGGAGCCATCGCTCTCGGGCTTAACCTCCTCTGCTGCTGCTGCTGCTGCTGCTGCTGCTGCTGCTGTTGCTGCCGCATCCGTTGGCTCCGTCTTAGGCGACGTGTCCATAGCCTGCACCGGCTGCAGCTGCTGCTCCTGAACTTGCTGAAGTATTAAGTTTTCGTGTTCTATTTGCTGCCACCAGGGCTCGTCGGGTGCGTCTGAGGACGTTGCGGCTGGCACTGATTCATGGCCTGACTGACTCGTTGACTCTGCGTTTCCCATTCTTGCGTTGCTTTTTTAATGCTGCAGTCCGAAGAACAAAGAAACGATCCGCTGGCTGCCCCTGTTTCTGGTATGCCAAATGCACTCGATTTATTGCTGTTGTTGTTGTTGTTGTTGTCGTTGTTATGGCCAGCAGCTACTGCGTCTGTTTACTTTTTGTGGCACCCGTTGAGATTTACGCTAATGCGACTTTTCTTTTACGTTTCTTCTAAAGCCAGAGAACACAAAGAGACGACCGCCCAGCCAGCTGCGCCTTCTCCCACAATTTCGATCAGGCGAACTGTTTCAAGATAAACACCAACAGAAACAAACAACAAAAAAACTTGGCACACACACCTCTGTCGCTCTCTCTATATATGTATATATATAGATATATGTATATATATCTATATATTTCTATCGCACGCGCGATTTCGCAATTTTTATTGACTTTCGCTTTTCACAAGAATCACAAGACTAAGAAGTTATACTAGTTGGCTTATCTATTTATATATCCTAGCGTATATATTGCCAACCAATTTACTTCTTCGTTCACTAACTAATTTGAATAGTTAAAGAAGAATGTTTACAAAAAGCTTTGAAGTAATTCCCTAGTATACATATGCATGCGCATAGCATACGCGTGTTCGTATGGAAAATTTTCGATTTTCTATCTTCCGTCGCGAGGCACTTTTCGCTTGGCCAGCTCGTGAAAAACTGAGTGAACATTTTCTAATGGATTGCTATTTTTAAAAAAACCCGATGAAAAAAGCAAGAAAAATCAGATGTTCTCTTGCTCTATGCTCTATGCGCTCTATGCTTGGCTCTCGGTCAGGGCTGCCTGACCAAACGCTTTGTTGCATCGGCAAATAGGCAAAAGAAAGAAATAAAAAAAAATAAGTGAGACGGAGAAGACAATTCGACTCTCTGGTTCGAGAAAGGATTTTCCCCGAATCCCTTAGTTTATACATGGTTTTATTTGAATGCATTTCATATCAAAATCTGTCACATGAATAGATTTAAATTTAGCTGCGACACGTCAAGTCCGATTATGACTAAGAGACAAATAAAACAGTTGCCACATTTGATCAAAAACAAAATAAGTAGCGAGCCATTGCCTTGGCACTGAAACATCTACACACAGAATCTTGCATAAATATTTAGAAACATGAGTTAGATGATGTGAGATGAAAGTTAGGATACCCTAGTTGAATGGCAAAATATATGTACATACGATTAACGCTGCTTCTTATGGACATGGAAGCATATACTACTACAATATATTTACTAAAATGGAAAAGCTTTAATAAATACGATGGAAATAGATAATCCCTCCTATCATTACTATATGCCATTCATTTCTCAGTAAGTCTCACCAAAATATTTTAAAACATAATATGTTTATAGCACAGCTAATATTTTGAGAGCATTATCAAACTCGACAATATACTTATATGAAATGAAACATGAAATACCCTAGCAATCATTTATAGATATGAATAACTGTGATTTCTGTTACACTAATCTAATATATGTGCTAAAATTGGATTCATGATTGGATTTAGCTTTTAAGTAAATTTCGAGAAATATCTAAAAATATGTGACCACCGCATGTTAGTTACATAGCTAAATTTTTGAGGGTATTATCCAGTTTAAATATACATCATATGTTAGTTATTTAAGTAGCTGATTATCTACTCAGCTAAGTCATATACATACACATATATAAGAAAATACTGCTCAGAATCAAAATAAACAATTGCATAAAATTTGATAGAAACAGTTTCGCTGACAGCTCAGTTCACACAGGTATATAGTCTAGTACTCGAGTCGGCTGTGCCTGATTTGGACATACTCTGTACTATAACTAGATCTGTTATCTTAAAAAATATACATATCTCTTTTTAAGGGAACGCTGCCTCAGCTTTGCCTTAAATCCCAATTTTCAATGTGTGCAGGGTAAAATAAAATTAAACTCTCCTAACTATTACCCCCCATACTATTTAATGTATGTATTCGAAAGAGAACTTTCTATCAAATGAACGTTAGCTGTGAGTCTAAACTTAACTCTAATGAGACTTACAAACAATCTGGCATATTACCTATTAGGAAGGCAAACAAATGCAAGTATTTTAAATCAGAGCAAAAATATCTGGTTCTCTCTATATGGCGTAGCATTTGTGCAGATGCTGTAGTGTTTGCATTGTTTTTTCAGATGCACTCCCACCGAAAAGTTTTTGGCAAAAGTTTCAAATGAAAATGCATTTTGCAACAGATTTTTCCACAGGCAGCGCCAATTTTCCTCCTACTGGATGCCGCTTTTTTTTTTTTCTTTTTTCGGCTAACTTGCCCATTGTCGACGGCATTTGAAAAAGTGGGAAACACGCAGCAATGACTTTGAATGAGCACAACGTGAAGGCGCGAGGCGGGAGCTACGGGTGTCGGCTGGTGTAGGGCACACACACATTTGGTAGGGTTTCCTGCTGCTGCTGCTGCTGCTGCTAAGTGTCGCCCTGCACTAGAGCAGCGGGCGTAGAGCGACACACGCGTAGAGACACTGAGCAGCGAGCAGCTCAGGCTTGAAAATGAAAATCAACAATGCAATTTGCCATGTTGCCTCTTTGTTAGCCCGGCCAGAAAGAGACAACAACAACAACAACAACAAAAAGTGAAAATAATATAAAATGTAAGCGACTAAAACTTGAAGCGCGTTTGCCAAAGTTGGCAAAACCGTGCCACGCCCCGCCCTCTCCCCCGCCTCCAATACCAGCGGATGCCTTGATCAACTTTGGTCGAGATTGCGCCAGGCAAATGTGCAAGCGGCAAGGACAGTGCCAGCAAAAAGTTGACGCCAAGGCGAGTGAGAGTGAGTGAGAGAGAAAGAGAGATAATAGAGGGAGATAGCGTGCTTGAGAAAGTGTGCATTGTGTTCATTATAATGGCATAATAAACCGAAGCGCCAGTGTTGCTCTTGGTGTTGTTGTTGTTGCTGTTATTATTATTGTTGTCGCTTGGCTTCTCGTGTTTTCTCAAGTTTCAGCAGTTATTCTTTGACTGGCTGAAGTTAATAATAACTAATGAAACTTTTGCAGCTTCATTATGCCAAAAACGGACTCACACATAGAGCTAACTGTCATATAGTATGGCATATGTCCCTGCGGTTAATTAACGTTACTTGGACTAATGTACACGCTATCCGAAAGCTTAAGTTAATCTACAATGTAGAGGCCAAGGATGCAAGCCTTAAAGCTGTGCATTTGTAAGCAGCAGAAGCTCGCATAACTAATGCAACAAACTTGTGCATATTTTGCGGCTGAGTATGCCCAAACAACAACATCAAGAAAAGCAACAACAGCAGATATAGCCGCAAAATCATAACAAGGCAAGCAGGCAACTTCATTAAGCAGCAACACGTTGACACTTCCGACTTAAGCTTCATTTCCGCAGCTGTGCATTCATACATACAAATTGCTGCAGGACTTACGTACTTAGGCTTCCTTGCAATACTACTTGAACATTATCTAATCCTTACACTTGCAACACACTGGTGAATATCATCACATTTTTAAATAACTATCATGTTTGGCGCAAAAACTTTGAATCAGCTGAGCAAGCAACTTACGCAAAAAGAAGATTAAAGTGTAACGTCACAAATATAGCCTATCCAATCAGAATGTAGCAGATATGACGTAGCGGAATTACCCACGTGCGACCTTATAATATTCATCGTTCCTTGGCTGCAACAGGTTGGCAGCACCATCGATAGACATCAGCAAATTATCGATTACGTTATCAGCACGTGCAACGGGAAGAGCCGTTTGACTTTGTTTACGTTTTTATTTGTGAAAAGAATTATTGAATAATGGACAAAATGAAAGATTATCCAGTGCTGACAAATTCACGACCCGAATTCAAGCAAATACCAAAAAAGCTAAATAAGGTAAATACGTTGAGTCCCGCCGAATACAACTTTTCATATGATTTTTTTCAGCATCTAGCGAATTTGGGTGCACCGCATGTGGACTCTTTCGATGAAATGTTAAGTGTCGGCTTGGGGCATGTGGCCAAACATATAGTGCCACAGTATTTGCAAACACCTGCCGGCGAGAGGATTTGGATAACTATTGACAGCATTTCCATAAGCAAGCCACAGGTGCCGATGGACGTGATTGACGTGCGCACACGTGAAATATATCCAACAGATGCTCGACAATTGCACGCTTCCTACTCGGGCATGTGCTCGGTGCGGCTTGCCTGGTCTGTGAATGAACTAGAAAAACCCTCCATCAATATAGATCTAGGCGAAGTGCCAGTCATGCTCCGTTCAAAAGCCTGCAACTTGGGCAGCGCATCGCCCGCGGAGATGGTGAAGCATGGCGAACACGACAGCGAATGGGGCGGTATTTTCATCATACGCGGCAATGAGAAAATCGTTCGCATGCTCATCATGACGCGACGCAACTATCCGATCTGTGTGAAGCGCTCCTCGTGGAAGGATCGCGGTCACAATTTCAGCGAACTAGGCATCATGGTGCAGACAGTGCGAGACGATGAGATGTCCTTTACTAATGTGTTGCACTATCTTAACAATGGCACCGCTCGTTTCATGTTCTCGCACTACAAACGGCTGTCTTATATACCCGTTTGTCTCATACTCAAGTGTCTCATGGACTACACAGACGAGCAGATATATAATTGTCTGGTTCGGGGTTACGAATCGGATCAATACTATTTGACCTGTGTGCAGAGCATGCTACGTGAAGTGCAGAACGAGGGCGTCTACACATCGGCCCAATGTCGCTCATTCATCGGCACGCTGTTTCGGTCACGTTTCCCCGAGGTACCGGAGTGGCTGCCAGATGAGGCAGTAACGGAATTTATCATGCGCGAACGCATTATGGTCCATTTGAACACTAATGAGGAGAAGTTCCAGCTAATCGTGTTCATGGTGCAAAAGCTATTCCAATGCGCTCAGGGAAAATACAAGGTTGAAAATGTCGACTCAGCGATGATGCAAGAAGTTCTGCTGCCCGGACATCTCTATCAAAGATACCTGTGTGAACGCCTTGAGATGTGGCTAATGTATCTGCGTAAATGTCTGCAAAAGAAGCTCAATACCCCGGACTCGCTGGTGAGCAGCAGCATCATGACACAGTGCATGCGACAGGCGGGAGGTATTGGCCGAGCCATTGAATCCTTTCTGGCCACGGGCAACATAGCCTCACGCAGTGGCCTGGGTCTGATGCAGAGCACTGGTCTTGTAATAATGGCCGAGAATATCAATCGCATGCGGTACATGTCCCATTTTCGCGCTATCCATCGTGGCTCCTATTTCACAACTATGCGAACTACAGAGGCACGCCAGCTTCTTCCCGATGCATGGGGCTTCATTTGCCCAGTGCACACGCCCGATGGAACGCCCTGTGGTCTTCTTAACCATTTGACCCTGACTTGCGAAATATCCAAGCGTCCGGATCCCAAACTGGTGCAAGTAAGTAGTCTTCCAACCATTTATCTTTCCTATACTTAATATACTCTTTACAGGCTATTCCAGCTATGCTCTTAGAAATGGGAATGATACCCTTATCACAGCAAGCCCAGCCAGATGCTAAGCTGTATGTGGTATTCCTGGATGGTAAGCACTTGGGTCACATATTCCAGACCGAGGCTAACAAAATAGTGGAGATGTTGCGTTATGCCAAAATAACGGGTAAAGTTCCCGAAATGATGGAAATCGGTTTTATACCCTATAAGAAAAATGGCCAGTTCCCTGGTCTGTTTCTTTGCACGGGCCCCACACGTATGATGCGTCCCGTATGGAATCTTAAATGGCGGCGTGTCGAATACATTGGCACACTGGAGCAACTGTATATGGAAATAGCCATAGACGAGAAGGAAATGTATCCGGACTTTACCACACATCTTGAATTGTCGAAAACTCACTTCATGAGCAATTTGGCCAACTTGATACCCATGCCGGACTACAATCAATCGCCCCGTAACATGTACCAGTGTCAGATGGGCAAGCAGACGATGGGTACGCCCTGTCTAAACTGGTCCAAGCAGGCAGCCAACAAGCTCTACCGCTTGCAGACACCAGCGACACCGCTGTTCCGTCCGGTACACTATGACAACATAAACTTGGATGACTTTGCCATGGGCACTAATGCGATTGTGGCTGTCATTTCATACACTGGCTATGACATGGAGGACGCCATGATTATCAATAAGTCAGCCTACGAGCGTGGATTCGCCTATGGCAGCATCTATAAATCCAAGTTTGTGCAGCTGTCCAAGAAGCAAAGCTATTTCGCGCGCCATCCGCATATGCCGGAACTGATCAAGTACTTGGATACTGATGGACTGCCGCATCCGGGCACCAAGTTAAGCTATGGTTCGCCTCTATACTGTTACTTCGATGGCGAGGTCTCCACATTCAAAGTGGTAAAAATGGATGAGAAGGAGGAGTGCATTGTGGACAGCGTGCGGCAGTTGGGCAGCTTTGAGGTAATGCCTCGCAAGACCGTGTGCATAACGCTGCGTGTTGCACGTCCAGCAACGATTGGCGACAAGTTCGCCTCGCGTGCCGGACAAAAGGGTATCTGCTCGCAGAAATATCCCGCTGAGGATTTGCCGTTCACCGAATCCGGACTTATACCTGATATTGTGTTCAATCCCCACGGTTTCCCCTCACGTATGACAATCGCTATGATGATCGAAACGATGGCGGGCAAAAGCGCTGCCCTCCATGGCGGTGTCTACGATGCAACGCCGTTTCGCTTCTCCGAGGACAACACAGCCATAGATTACTTTGGCAAAATGCTGGAGGCTGGAGGCTATAACTATTACGGCACAGAGCGTCTATACTCTGGAGTCGATGGACGCGAAATGACAGCGGATATATTCTTTGGCGTGGTGCACTATCAGCGACTGCGTCACATGGTCTTCGATAAGTGGCAAGTGCGATCGACGGGCGCCGTTGAGGCACGCACCAATCAGCCGATCAAGGGACGCAAGCGTGGTGGTGGCGTACGTTTTGGAGAGATGGAACGCGACGCCTTGATTTCGCACGGTGCGTCATTCCTACTGCAGGATCGACTCTTTCACAATTCGGACAAAACGCACACATTGGTATGCCACAAATGCGGCAGCATCTTGGCGCCGTTGCAGCAGATCATCAAGCGCAACGAGACAGGCGGCTTGTCCTCCATGCCAGAGACGTGTCGCCTTTGCGGCGACAGCAGCAGTGTCTCCATGATCGAAATACCCTTCTCGTTCAAGTTTCTGGTCACCGAGCTGAGCTCCGTCAATATAAATGCCAGATTCAAGCTGAATCAAATTTGAGCTTAGTTAATCAATTGTTGACATACTTATTGCATATTATACCCATACCTATTCATTATTTGTAATAAAGTTACGAGATATGAATGTCTCCTATATTGCATTCCTTTTTTTTCCGAGTGAAACATCAAAGATTTTCGCTTTCAAGTTACATTTTTTAAATTTCCATAGATTTTTATTTACTTTAAATACATATTTCATTTTGTTTACAGTTAAATTCCTGCATTTGCTATCTGTAGTTTTTTTTTTTTTTATAGTTACTGTCGTTATTTTTAAATGTGGAATTCGTTTAACAATTTAACTATCGCAGCGTTTAGAAAATAAATTTCCAAATTGCATGCAAATAATAGCTTAAAAATGTGTGTATATTTGTTTTATATTTATATATTTATATATATATATATATGTATATTCAGTTATTATTCAAATGTATTCATTATTTATTGGTTTGTATTTGTTCTTGTGTTTTCTGCTTGCAACATTTTATGGCGCTTCAGATGCACATCGGGGGAATAGTTAATACTTGCTGATTGATTGATATTCAATGTACTTCATATGATAATGCCAAACAAAACTTCGAATCAATTTTGAATTTTGAACAATTTCTATATAGTTTATATTGTTTTTGTTTTCTTTTTTACAATCATATCTATGGTACATATACGAAATAATACATGGTACATGCTCATCAGGATCAATCGAGAATTTTTTCTATACGTATTATAATAAGTTTTTGTAATGCTTGTCCTTTAATATATATGTACTTGTAGTAGTATTGGTAGTATACTTTATTATTATTATTAGTTTGTTCAAGTTCAACAATGTTTTACGTAATGTTTTTTATGTATGTATATGTGTCGGTGTGTGTGTGTTTATGTGGGTCAATCAAAAATTTGTGTATGTGATTTTCACCATCTAATTATTTGTCTATCATTTAATGAGATTAACCGCGTGCAAGGCCGCCTCCACCATCCACGCCTACTTTTTCCTGAAGAAACTACGCACTCTCGTCTCCAGAATCTCACAATCAAAAAACACTAAACATTGAAATTTTCTTTTCGTTTTTTTCTTTCTCTTTTATGCGTAATAATTTGTTGTTAAATAACATAACGATTTGTGTATTTATATCATTCCATTTATAAATTGTTTATAATATTAGCTTTTGCTGCTTTATTACAACAATGTTTATATATATATTTATATATATACTAGGTATATGTATGTATGCTTGTATGAATCGTGTTATTTAATATATATATATATTATATATATGTATATATAAAGATATACATATATATATATAGTAATATCCAACTGCTAATGCTTGTCATACAACATAATCTAATTATGTTTTACTAATGAACTTTTTGAGCTTAACATTTACAAAGAATTCTCTCTCGTTAGCAATTACAAAAAATAATAATAATAATAGTAAGTATATTGAAAATGGAAAATCAGACGCATTTTAACAACTAGCGCGATAAGAAATATATAAAACATGTGAACATTGCATGCGCCGAAAATGGGAGAGAAGTATAACTCGCTGCAAAGTGCCGAGTACTATATAGTGGGTGTATGTGTTGGTGTAGATATACGTGTGTGGGCGTTTAGGCATATGTATGTGCTAGTGATGGAGGTAAACATGTGTAGAGGTGTGGTCGTAGCATACAAATACGTAGCACAATTAACGGCTTAAACATAGGTCGCGTATAGATTTGAGGAAACATGTCATTATATACTTTGTTTTTGATATCATTCTTTAGGTGATTAGGATTGTGCATTGTAAATGTAGTTCGCTGCAGTAGCTCCCTCCTAGACATATATCCAATTGCATGCGTAGTAGCATGCGAAGTAGCTGCTGCTCGCGTCTGCCTGCCTTAAAACTGATCCGCCAACAGATCGCAGATCACGCGTGTCACTGTCTCCTTGCTGGCGCGTATGGTTAATCGGAACATCTACAAGAGCAACATACAAAATATCAATATTGAATAAATACATACAAATAGGGGAGTTTATATTTGCTTACCTGTGCCTGCTTGTTGGGCTCCAGTCGCAGCAGGCAGCCCACCTGTTGTGATTGCGTGTGTATAATGCCCGCACAGACCATGTTGTCTGGATTGGGATCAACCTGATCGAGCAGCTGCATACCAAAGCCAATTAGCTTATTGCGTGCACCAGGCAAGTCCAGCGGCTGTGCGGCTTTGAATACCTTTTGCGCTCGCTGCTGTTCACTGTGAGCGTATGGCAAAGTAAAAAGCACATTAGCTACTAGTTTAAGCTTTGCCAAATGTTTCCTACTCACCCGCTGAGATTCTTCCACCGCGCGAAAAAGGACTCGGCATTCATTTCGGTTGGCTCGAAGAACTTATTCACGGTCAATGGCAATTTAATGCAGAACTTTTGCTGTGTTCCATTGTAGCGGAAGCTGATCTCAATGGTGGGTGCGTCGGCGTAGTCCTCAATACATTCGGCGGTTAGCAACTGTTGGATTTGCGCACCCGCCTCCAGCGTCGGCTCCACGGCCTTCATTTGCACATTCAACTTGAGCGCCTCTTCGGCGGACCATTGCAGCACGGGATGGAAGTTCTAAACGGGAAAGAACATTCGATCAGTACACATTATTAGAGATGCAACCACAACTAACTCACCGTCAGCGGCACTTGCGTCTTATTGCCGTAGAATAGTCCCAAGCGGCCCAGATTCTGTCGAAATTCGGACTTGACGCCAATCTGGAGCATTTCGTTCTCGAAGAGCACACCATTATTTTTGAAAAGAAACTTCTTGGTGTTGTAGACGGCGGCATTGTTGTTCCCATAGATATCGCCCAGCACATCGAGCAACGCCGAGTTGTTGCTATTGCTCAGGTTGTTAATATTGTTCGCGGGCGGCGTGCTGAGGCCCAGCAGATCAGCATTGGCATTGCTATTCAGTTTATTATTGTGATTGACGTGCGTGTTGTTCTGTGTAATGGATGTCGGCGCTGGGCTCTTCGACTCCCGTATCTCGTTCTCGGGCACGCGGCCGGGTTTCTTTTTCTTGAGCACGGCCAGAATGGAGCTTTCACGCTCCGGGAATGAGGGCATCTCCTCCAGCACCGTGGCCAGCACATCTGTTGACGCCACAATGCTTAACTGCAAATATTCGCTTGCGCGCTGCTGCAGTTCGGCATCAGCGGAACGCAAATTGCTGTGCTGCCTGAACACCTCCTGGATATTGGTGCGTATCTCGGGAAACAGATTGATGAACTTAATGTACGTGGAGAGCAACAAGGCGCGCGTCATGGGCGAGCACAAATGATACTTGGAATGAAGCAGTTTGAACTGCACGAGCGGCGCAGAACGAGAATCGCCCGCAATCAGATTACCAAACTCGCCCAATATGTAGCCGCCCACCTTGACCATGTTCTCGTGGCAGGCGGGCGCCTGCAGCGCCTCGAAGACGGTTTTGGCAGCATACCCCTGAACCTCCTCGCGATTGATGACAATCTGTATGACACGATACCAGACCTCCTCCGAGACATAATCGCCGGCTATGCGTATTAGATTGAGAATAACATCCACGTACCTGGGAATGATTTAAAGGATATCATCAACAAAGGCTTCACACTGAGCTGGGGACAACTTACCAGGTATAGTCCGTAGCATATTTCTCAGCCAGAATGGCCACCTTGAGTACCATCTCCTCACGAATGGAATAATCTGCCGTCTCCAGATAGTTGAGCATCTCCTGAACAATCTCTTCTGCATTACCGCGATCGCACATGGCATACAGTAAATCGACAGCCATTTGGCGCACCGAAACATCCTTTTCCATTTTCATGGAGAGAATGACCACCTCCTGATGCTTCTTGACTTCCTCGTGCGAGAACTCTGACGTCGCCAGATGGCACATGGACTCCAGCGCCAGATAGCGCAAGTTCGTCTCCCGATTGCTGAGGAACTGGCCCAGCTGATTGCAGGCACGCACCAGCAGGTTCGGCTCGCTGTCGCTGTGTATGATCAGATTGATGGCCTCGAAGAGCACAGCATTCTTGGCATTCGAGTGCTGCACCTTCTTGCTCTTAGGCGGCTCCTGCGCCTTATTCAGTATGGTTTCCAGCGTCTCGTTTAGGCGTGCCCGCACGCCGGCTTCCTCGGTGACCGGATTATAGTTCTGCAACAGCCGCAACAGCTTCACCGATAGCCACGGTGCTGGCACAAAGTAATACGTGTAATCTTGCAGATCCGTATAGCTGGCGGTAACAATGCGTGACAGCCTCGACACAGCCAGATTAACGCAGCCCTTGTACTCGTCCGGATTGCGCTTCACCAACGCATCAATCAACGATGTGGCGGCCGTCACCACGCCCATATGCTGATCATTGAGCAAGTGTATGATGCGCGATGTCCACTCGCCGCCAGGTATAATATCCGGCGACGAGCGGAACAGACGCAGCAGACACAAGGCCGCCGATTGCTTGACCACATCCATAGTGTCGCCCGACACCAACAGCTTGGGTATCTCGTTGGAGAAGGACTCGGCCATATCACGACTTCCAATATTGGCAATGCATTGAAGCGCCAGATTCACATGCACCGGATTACGCGACTGCAAATCATTCTTGATCGACTGAATGATCAAACGGATCAGATCACTGTTCGTATTCACCAGCACCGAAATGAACAGATAGCCCTGAAAAGCAAATCAAATTTAATTTGAGTATCCTTCACTATTTGCTTTGCATTATAATTCACTTACGATCTGCTTCTCTGAGTATTTGTTGGAGGACAACAGATTGACCGCCTCCATGTGGCCAAAGTCAATGTCATGCCCAAGCAGGAAAATAAAGAGCAGCTTGCACACATATTTCTTCTTCTGGTACCCATCGAGCGTTTTATCGCCTTTAAATTTGCTTCGTATATTAGCCAATTCTTTGTTTATGCGCTTCACTTCCGCTTCTTTGCTTTTACCTGTTTGTGTAAAAGAAAGCAAAATGAGAATCTGTTTGTGGTAGATAAAATAATATAGAAGTTTGTTCTTTTAACAAGTGGAAGAATCTCTGAGTCTACCTACGTGACTTCTGGTTTCAAAAAGCTATCTTGTTTTTGACAGTAGCAACTATATAATAGCATTTATGATTTGATTTAATTATAACTTAAGTTTCTGTATTCTCTGACATTCTATTCAGAAATCGTTAACAGTTTACATTACCGAAATTGCGGTGTAGGTTTCACTATTTAAAAGTCAGGGAAAATCCAATAGATAAACCGGAAACTAAAACTCTCTCGGATTCCACTCTCTGTAGCTAACAATCAGGCACCATATAGTACCAGTCACGATCAAGAGAGTCTTTGCGTATTAGATATGCTGGCGAGTTAACTAGCAATAGGCCTTTATGTATTTATTTGTACGATAAATGAATGAAAGAGCGTTGAGAGCGAGCGCTGGGTGAAGCGACAAGTTAAGGCTACACGAGTACAAACAATTTGCGGACACATCAACACACACCAACATACACACTCTTATATATGAATGCCGCCCCGCTTTGTTACAGTGGTTCTTCTCGTAATTGAACGAGAGATGTAGACATTGACGCCCCTATGAGAGTTATGAATATACATATATATATAGTTGGATAAGAAAAGCACTGATAAATTGAATAAAAAATTAAAATTAAAAATAATATAAAATTCACTAAAAACACTTAAAGAGCAGATATAGTGTCGACTAAAAAATACCCTGTTTATTGTATTCAATTGATATACCTATATGGGAAACTAAATAGGAAATTGTTATATTGATTCATTATGGAAATCAACTTCTTTTTATATAACAATTAAATTTATGAAAAATGTCATTGACCTGTGAAATCTCTAAGCCGAGCTAGTCTAGAATACCCTTTCTCCCTTATTTAAGTCTATGATAGAAAGTTACGTATGCAATAAAATTACATGCACAATGTTTACTTACAATTTCTTATATCCGATATAAACACGGCCAGGCCTCTCATGCCATCCCCCCTCACCGGCGCCATTGTAGTTAGCTTGTTAATTTTCGCTGGTTTTATGCAAACTCGGGGCGAAGAAAAATCTGTGCGAGCGCTCGAGTTGATGCGGCGCTCTTATCGCTTAAGCTCAGCGACGACAACAACAACAAATGGCGGGCGTACGTATTAGCGGCGACAACTGTGCGACGTTGCCACTTGCTGCAGACTGATGAATGACAAATTTTGATTTGGTTGCGAGAAACAAAATAATGTTCCGTTCCGTAACTCTCTCACATTCACTCAGAATATCCCTCTCGCGGCAGCAGAAGACCTGTTGGAAATGATATATACATACATATATATTTGTTTAACAATCAATTGATATCGATAACAAATTTGTTTTTGCTTTAAAGGCATATTTGGCGCAATTTGAACTTTTGACATTTGGCAAGCGAGCATACGCCCCCTCTCCAATGCTCCGCATCCCACCCACAAGCTTCTACTTGGCAAGCGCGTTGGCAGCACTTCCAATGCCTCTATATACACAAATATACAGATGTATGTATGTACGTATATAAGCAAACACATATAAATAAGTATATTTGAAATAGCAACAACAACTGCAATCCTGATAACGTTTGAATTCTGATGACCTTAAGGAAGCCTTTTTATCACAATTTGCACTTGTTTAAGTAAATATATGAATACGACTAGAGCAAGATCACTGCCACCGGCTGAAGCCCTTTGTTGTTGCCCAGTAATTATTTTGCTTTCATGTCACGTCCCGCTGTCGCAGTCGCAGTCGCAGTCATAGTCGACGTCACTTTTTTTTCTCTTCATATGAACCACACAGCCAACGGCCGCAAGATGACGAAGTCGTTTTATTTGCACAGACCGCAAAAACAGCACCACGAAACGTTCCGAAATTTCATTTTTTGTTTTATTATTTTATGGCATAACACACAGAAATGGCTTCAAGTCGCGAAACTATTTAGGTAGTCACTGCTGCTGCTATTACTACTGCTGCTGCTTACTTTTTGAAACGATGCAGCCAAATTGTTATTGCAGAGAGTTTGCTGGAATTTTTGTCGTTTCGTTTGGCTTTCCCACGGCTGCGGCTAGGTCTGCTGCTTTTTTGGGATCTCTTATGGGTGTTGGCCGCGGAATGTGTGCGTGCGTGTGTATTTGTGGTAGATTCAGCACTTTATGTAACCCGTGTGTAAATTTGAATTGTGTTTGATTACTGTTATTAATTGTAAACTAACGCAAAACAAGCAGAGCAGCCAGGCATTTCACGAACTGAAAATTTCTATTGATTTTTCCTCGACTCTCCTCTCCGTGCAACAGCCATCTAGCGGACACAGTGCTGTTAAACGGCCGCCAACAACAGCGTTTGTTGCGCCAGTGCTGGTCAGTGTTTCAATCAGACTGCATGACTTTTTCCAGCACTGCCACTTTACAACTCCGCCATTTTGCACTCCAGCGTTGCATATGCCGAGTGGTCGCCCGACTATTTGTAGTACTCTACGTTTTTTTTTGCATCAAGCAAATAAATATAATGCTCTCATATTTTAAAGTGCATTAAGCGAACCGCGAAGAGTCTAACAACTGTATACTGTGAACTGTTTACAAGCGATTACGCATGTGTTACGTACTGCCAACGCCGTCTTATCATCAGAATCAACGCGGCCGCCATAAAACTGGCTACCAAATTGCAAGGTTTTAGCAAATCAATAGGAAAGAGCATCAGGAGCCGCAGAAGAGGTAGTCGGCGTGTTTGCCAAGACTTTTCAATATGAGTTTTTCCAGCGACGAGGTGAACTTTTTGGTTTTCCGATATCTGCAGGAGTCAGGTGAGTGACTGCAGAGAACATTAAAGAGACGCCGAGTGAAGCTAACCGCCCAATTTCCTTTTGATTTATACTAGGTTTTCTGCATTCGGCGTATGTGTTTGGAATCGAGTCACACATCTCGCAAAGTAATATTAATGGAGCCCTAGTGCCACCAGCTGCCCTGCTCACCATATTGCAGAAGGGTCTGCTATACACAGAGGTGGAGTGGAGTGTGGGCGAAGATGGTGAGGTGGCGCGACCCATTGAAGGACTCAGTCTGATAGATGCTGTCATGCCGGAGGTGAAACCGCTCAAGCCGATAGTCAAAACAGAGCCGGGCAAACCGGGTGCTGTGGATGCCAACACGCCGGCCAATGCGGCCAATGCGAACAGCAATGCAAAAACTGAGATTAAAATTGAGCCGGGAACAGGCAATTCGGCGGCGAATGCCGGTGGCAAGGGAGCCAATGCCAACACGGGCACCAGCACACCCACCGGCAGCAGCAGCGCCGACACCAGTGAGGTGGATTCCAGTGGCAATACAGCATCCAACAACAATGCCGCTGCCAGTGGCACCAACAATGCCAGCGGCACAGCAGCCGGCGCAGCCACCAACTCGGCGACAGCGGCGGCCAGCACGAACGCGGACACCGCTGCTGGAGCAGGAGCTGCGGGCGCTAACAAAAAGGCGGGCGTCAATGAGACTGGAGCTGCCAGCAGCACGGCATATCCAAATACAACTAGCACAGATGATGCTGCCTCGTCCACGTCCACAAATGGCAATAGCAGTAATTCCAGCAGCGTGGAACAACCGGCGTCAGGTGTTACTCCCGCAGTACCCGCCGCCAACAATGCGGAAGCCGGTGCAACAGCGGCAGGCGCTGCAGCATCGGGCGCTAAAGCGCCCAGTGGCGCAGGCGGTGCGGCGGCAACACGAGTGGGCGCTCAGGGAAATAATGTGCAGACCACGTGCCCGACGTCTGCTCAAAGCGCGGTGCCCAGCAGCACGACATCCGGTAATGGAGGAGGTGGCGGCGGCGGCGGTGGTGGTGGTGGCACCACCGCTGGCACACCTGGCAGCACCGTTGTAGAGGCGATGGACATTGATCAGAGCATTGAGATACCTGAATCGAAAGCGCGCGTTCTGCGTGGCCACGAAAGTGAAGTGTTCATCTGCGCCTGGAATCCCAGCCGGGATCTGTTGGCCAGTGGCTCTGGCGACAGCACTGCTCGTATTTGGGACATGTCCGATGCAAATGCCAACTCTAGTCAGCTGGTGTTGCGACATTGCATACAGAAAGGAGGTGCTGAGGTGCCCAGCAATAAGGATGTCACATCGTTGGACTGGAATGTAAGTTTAATAATATTCGAATTTTATCCGAATTCGAGCTACCATAAATTCATCTTGACATATTAAATTATTTTTTGCAGTGCAACGGCTCGCTTTTGGCCACCGGCAGTTACGATGGCTACGCGCGCATTTGGAATACAGAAGGCGGCTTGGCCTCCACATTGGGCCAGCACAAGGGGCCCATCTTTGCGCTTAAATGGAACAAATGCGGCAATTACATTTTGTCTGCGGGCGTGGATAAAACCACAATTATCTGGGACGCATCCACAGGCCAGTGCACACAACAGTTTGCGTTCCACAGTGCGCCGGCACTGGACGTCGACTGGCAATCTAATCAGTCGTTTGCCTCGTGCAGTACGGATCAGAGGATACACGTGTGCCGGTTAGGCATGAACGAACCGATAAAAACGTTCCGTGGTCACACGAACGAAGTCAATGCAATCAAATGGTGTCCGCAGGGCCAGTTATTGGCCTCTTGCTCGGACGACATGACACTCAAAATCTGGAGTATGACGCGCGATCGTTGCTGTCATGATCTGCAAGCGCATTCCAAGGAGATCTACACGATAAAATGGTCACCCACCGGACCCGGCACCAATAATCCGAATACGAATCTTATTCTCGCCTCGGCCTCATTCGATTCGACGGTCCGTCTGTGGGACGTGGAGCGTGGCAGTTGCATACATACGCTAACCAAGCACACAGAACCCGTCTATTCCGTGGCCTTCAGTCCGGATGGCAAGCATCTGGCGTCGGGCAGCTTCGACAAGTGCGTGCACATCTGGAGCACGCAGACGGGACAGCTGGTGCACAGCTATAAGGGAACCGGTGGCATTTTCGAGGTGTGCTGGAATTCCAAGGGCACCAAAGTGGGCGCCAGTGCATCGGATGGCAGCGTATTTGTCCTTGATCTGAGAAAGTTCTGATCTGCAGCAGTCCCATTCGATACATCTGCCAGCAACTCTCAGCACCATTTAAGTTATGTATATTGAACCTTAAATTCTAATGTGTTTCCCGCTTCTGTTTTTGAATGTTTACTTCAATGTTCCATCATCCACGGTCCTTCAATGAGTTTCTAGTGTCGCCCAATTTCAATTCGATATAGTTTCTGTGCTCTGGAACTGTGGTTCGTGGGCGTCGTAAACCGAGTTTGCGCCACAATCGCAACCAGCTGCAGGAAATGCGCTTTTAATTTAGCCGTAAGCTCCATATGTTTCTAAGTTTTTTTTATACAGAAAAAAACCCGTTTAGTATAACACGATGCATTTTGTTATTTTCTATACAATCAACGCAGTATAATGGTCCAGTCCCCAATTAAGTCTTAATTAAACAAAAAAACCTTTTATCTTTAGACCTAAGCATAAAAATGCATGCAAACAAATGTTTAGTTTGCTGGTAAACGGATCCAAGTTCAAATGGATGACAACCCGATTTACGCTTACATTCGAACAGTGTAACTGGATCCCAACATAGTATGTAAACGATTATAATTTTAAAGAAAGCCGTTAACAGCAGCTACAATTAATTAAAGCTTCAAAACAAAGCTAATCTGGTATTTATTTGAAAGTGGGAGAAAACTGGATAACGATATAGAATCATTGCAGTGCTATAAAATACTGATAAAAAGTGCTGCCAATTTTTTTTCGCTTAATCTGAAAGTGAAATGCATAATGACTCAATCTTAAATTTATTGAACATATACTAAAATTATTAATAGTTATTAAAGGGCAATCTAAAAATCCGTAACATTGTCCAAGTGGCACTGTTTGAAGAAGCGGCACTCCTCACGCTTCACTTCGCCCGTTTTGGTGGTGCCCTTGAAGAATTTGGTCAGCTTTGTGCCTGCGTACTTGGGCTTCTCCGTATCCGGCTCATCGAACTCCATTTCGTAGGCCTTGTCGGCCAGCGCATTTTCTGCCGTTGACCAACTGAATCGCACCAGGCGCGGAAAACCAAAGACCAAATCAATGTTTTCGGTTAGGAATCGTTTGGTAACTGGATCGCCGGGATAGCCACTACCGAATGCATTATCTTTGATGACCAGCCCCTCAGGAAACTGCCAGACCTTTAGAGCATGATCACGGGTTACCTTGGCGCATATACTGGCCGCCGAGACAATCGGGTAGGTGGAATCAGCCTTCTTCGCCACTGTTATCTTGAAGTTTGGAAATCGTTTGAGCAGTTTCTCCTGATACTTCTCCGGTGGGCCCACTGTGTCCACATAGACCTCAGCTATATTAACACCTGCATCGATTGCACGCTGTATAAGACCCATTGCGGAATCCATGGACACCTCGTTCAGCGAACACTTGCTGCGTCTGTACATGCTGTTGCTGATAACATTTGGGGAAATTATTTCCACGGCCCAGCCAATGCAGCTGTTGGCATACTCCAACGTATTCATATCGTTAAAGATGATATCACGTTTTTCCTCTGTCAACTGCTTGGAGTCTGCACAGCCCAATTCGACTAGAGCCTCTTTACTATTCAGCGGACAGTAGGAGATGCCATATACCATAGGTCCCAGCACAGGACCACGGCCCGCCTCGTCGACGCCCAACATACATGGCTGGTCTTTGCATATCGCTGGCACATCACTTAGATAAACTGTATTCTTACTATTTTCGCGAGCTGCAATGAACGGCCCAAGTGCCTTTAACGAGCTGATTTTATCAATATCCACATGATCTTCCTCTTGTTCTATTTTTGGCTTTGTTTCAATTATGGAATCATTTTCTTGTTTTATTTCTATGTCTTCCATTTTACGCGCGTTTTTAGTATTTCGCTTAATAATCGATAGGCATTTGTTTACATTTTCTAGCAGTGTTGGTAAGTTAAATGTCTGCAATTCACAGTGAATGATTACAAAATACTGTAGGGCGCAGCCAACTTAACACATATCTCTCTTTCCGGTTTAGGATTCTGTTCCGTGTGCTTGTTCTCTTTCGAGCTAAGGCCGATTATTATAAAACATTAATTTTTGGCAACTTGCACCAATTAATTAAGCTAAAAGTTTAAATATGTCGACAAAAGCTGAGCTCGCATGCGTCTACGCCTCCCTCATCCTCGTCGATGATGATGTCGCCGTCACCGTAAGTTACTAACAATCGCACCCAAAACAAATCTACTAAATTAACGATAATCCTGCGCGCTAAATTGTTGATTTGTGGCTATAACTTTGCTTACGTAGAGTTTTGACTGCACTCTAATTATATTTTTGGCTTGTATCATTTGTAGGGTGAGAAAATCTCGACCATCCTGAAGGCCGCTAATGTTGAGGTGGAGCCCTACTGGCCCGGTCTGTTTGCCAAGGCGTTGGAGGGCATCAATGTCAAGGACTTGATCACTAACATTGGCTCCGGTGTTGGTGCTGCCCCAGCTGGCGGTGCTGCTGCTCCAGCCGCCGCTGCCGCTCCCGCTGCCGAGTCCAAGAAGGAGGAGAAGAAGAAGGAAGAGGAGTCTGATGTCTCCGACGACGACATGGGCTTCGGTCTGTTCGATTAAACTGTAGCCGCAGCAGCTAAAACTACTGTAGTTACTAACATAGAGGCAACAACATCCGCCGTGTATGTGAAGTAAGATTTTGTAATCTTCCCACATTCGTACACGTTTTAATGTACAAACGCGAGGAAATATAAAAGTTTACTTTAACGTGATTCCCAAATTTTTGTCATTTTTATTGGGCTTAAATGGTATAGAGTACGCTTAAAATATGCCGTTTTCTAGCACTTTGGCAATAGCTCTCAGATCCTCCGATTCAATTTTCTTCAATCCCAACGCGATGAGCAATTCTGATGGACACTTGTTGATCGCCGTCTTGTTAATTAAAAACTGTATGCCACCGCGTATTTCATCCGAGTCGATGCCCATGCAGCAGGTCATTGTCACAGGCACCGAGACATGGAACTCTGGATCATCCACTGGACCATGAGCAAAGGGCAGCACTCGATGGTCTCGCTTCACATCGAACGCCACATTGTAGAATGCCGGCAATTTTCCCAGCTGTGTAATCAGTAGCATCCACTTGTTTTCGAATTCGTGAAACACAAACTCTGTGCTATTCCCATTTATGTCCAGCGCAAACTGTTTATGGAAGCCACATTTATCGTTTTTCGTTTCAAATACGCTCATCCTGCGACAGCCAATACAAAATACTTAATATTCTGCTTCTTTTTTGTCGCTCAACGGTTTCGTTGTGCTTGCTTGCTGGTTTCAAGTAAAGCGCTGAATTATTGTGTATATCAATACAATTCTTGAACTATTATCAAATTTCGTATACAAGCAGAATTATATTAACGAAAATGAGTAGAAATATATTCAAATTTTAATTTTATAAAATAATGCAATAAATGAAGTGAGTCGGCAACAAAACAACAAAAGCACGCTGTTCAGCACTGAAACTATCGCTACATTCAAATATTATTTTTGTACAGAGCTAAAACTATCGCGATTAAAATGTACGCAGTGTTTATTTATGCAACAGATGGCGACACTGTGGAACGCAACGCTTTTTTAAAATGGTTGCCAGGGCTAGTCTGGTTGTTGAATCGATAGATAAACATAATGAAACAAAATTATAGCAGACACGATGTCTTGTATTTGCCTAGGACCAAAGCGTGCGGGCAAAACTCATCTGCTCAAGGCTCTGCAGGAGCCGGACTCTATAGATGAGACGAGCTACTCCATGCCCACCATTGGCACGGGCATCTTTCGTATTTATTTTCCTGAAAAGTCCGCTAATGCTGACAGGCACAAACCACCGCCGCCGCCAACAACAGATGCAGTCACCACGCCGCATGGCGTCAAACATCTGCCTAAGTTTATACAGGTGCTGGAAATTGGAGGTAGCATGGCGCCTCTGTGGCGTCAAAGTCAATACTTTGAGGATGTCAAAAAGCTCATCTATGTGGTGGACGCTTCTAATCTGTGTCAGATCTCAGCTGCAGGTACGTAAAGATAACCAAATCAAATACTCGTTCACAATGGATTTATCTGCAGGCGTGCTCTTCTATTCGATTCTCACCGAGCCGCGTCTGCAAAAGGTTAAAATCCTACTCGTGCTGACCAAAATGGACTACTCCTACCGTCAAATGCGCAACGAGGCGTTGCTCATGCTGCAAATGTCCAAGCTGCAGAAACAGATACGACAGCAGGTGACCATTGTGGAGGCTAGCGCAGTGACCAAGGTGGGTCTCAACGCCATCTACGACTGGCTCCAAAGACCATGATTCCATTTCTCTTAGTATCTTTATTCGTGTGCAAAATAAACTGAGATCTAAAGCTTGTAGTTGAGTTCCATGTACTGCAGATTGGCGTTCACCTCGCTCGCCTCGGGCAGCACGTCCTTGGCCGCATTCAGATAGGACTTGGCACCCATTACATCCCCGCCGTGGGCAGCCAGCACAGCCAAATTATTCAACGCTGCGCCGTCGCGTGCGTCGGCGGTGAGGCAGAGCTGCAGGCAGCGTTTGGCCAGGTTAAAGTCACCCGATGTCTGTGGAGGTATTCAATAGATTAGATAAGAGAACAGAGTTGATTGACTGAGCTGGAATATATATATGCATATATACCCTCATTTTCTATAGCTGCAGGGTATTTATGTTGTTCATCATACTGACCAATGCCACAAAGCTGAGATTGTACCAAATGTCTGCCTTTTGCTCCGGCTGCGTGGCCATCAGCAAGGCGCGTTGAAAGCACGGCAGCACCAGGTCAATCTGCCCGCCATAGAGACAGCAGAGGGCTATATTGCAGTAGAGTTCCGCGCTGTGGACGCCCAGGGAGAGGATGCGTCTGTAGTACATCAGTGCCATCTCCGGATTGTTGTCGTAGAAGTAGCTGACGGCAATGCTGGCCAAGGCCTCCACATTGATGGGCTGCAGCCGGGCGGCCAGGCGGTACAGCTGCAGTGCATCCTCCGACTGGGACATGGCTGCGTGAATGCGTGCCTGCTCCAGCCTGAAGGTCACATCGAATGGCTGTCGCTCCGCAGCCTGGCCGATGAGCACCAGCGCGCGCTCCGGCTGCCGCAGTCGCTGATACAGTCGCGAGAGCAGGAGATACGTATCCGGATGCGGAAAGGCTGCCAGCGACTGCTGCAGATGGCTCTCGGCACGGCGTGGATAGTGCAGAGCCAGCAGGCAGCGGCCCATCTGCTGCTGCCACCACCAGTCAGTGCAGGCGGCATCCGCCGGCGGAGCTAGTGCCGCCTGGCCTGGTCTCTGACGCTGCACATCGAGCACGGCCTGGCAGAGCGAATGCGCCTTCTGCACGTCCGCCTCGTGGTAGTAGAGGAACTGGAACAGCGCCTTCACAATGGCCTCCCTCTCCGCATAGATGGTGGGATTCAGCCGCGAGGCCTGGTACAACGCGGCCGTCGCATCGCCCACATTGAAGGCGGCCGCCGAGGTGGCGCGCACCCGGGACGCGGTGCCGCATCTCGAGGCGGGACGTGCGCCCAGCGAGGAGCCCGGTCGACTGATGGCCGTGCCCGGGCGCGTCAATGCCGAGCCGGGACGTGTGCTGCCGCTCGAGTGACTCAGAGCCGTGCCACGTCGTTGACTGGTGCTGGGCCGTGGCTGAAAGGCGGTCTTGATGCTGGTGCCGGGACGAGCTGCTGTGGCAATGCGCTCGAATTCCACCTCCTCGTTGACTGACCATTGAGAAGAGAGAGTATTGGCATATTTCAATTAGTAATGGTAAATATATTAATAGTAGTAGTAAAAGTAGTGTAGTATTAATAGTAGAATATAGTAGTAGTAATAGTATTAGAATAGGCATAATAGTAGTATAGTAGTAGTAATGATAAATATTGTAGTAGTAGTAGAAGTATAGTAGTAGTAATGATAAATATTGTAGTAGTAGTAGCAGTATGGTAGTAGTAATATAGTAGTAGTAGTAGCAGTATGGTAGTAGTAATGACAAATATAGTAGTAGTAGTAGAAGTATAGTAGTAGTAATGGCAAATATAGTAGTAGTAGTAGTAGTAGCAGTATAGTAGTAGTAATGGCAAATATAGTAGTAGTAGTATGGTTGTAGTAATATCAAATATAGTAGTAGTAGTAGCAGTATTAATGACAAATATAGTAGTAGTAGTAGTAGTAGCAGTATAGTAGTAGT